ATTAGCTGACTAAAACAGATGCAGATTCCAACAACCAAACATTGGGTAGAGGTCAAAACTCTTACAGAAATGATAGGATAAAGATTAATGGGCATGAGAAAGATAGTAACTCAATAGCAATACCAAACAAGATAACTAACCTTCATAATTGGCAGCACTCAGAAACTAAGCAACTACAGAGAGCACACTTGGGCTAGACTGCGGCCTCCATCACATAGGGTTGCTTTTTCTGTCTGCTATACCAAAGGAAGTTCCTAACCCCTCAGAGACTTGATTTGCAGCATGGCAGAATACCCCGGTTGGGGTCGTATCTTTTCAGAGAACAAGGGGAGCAGGTATGGGAGGAGGGACACTATGAGGGGAGACTGGAAAGGACACAGGATTTAGGATGCAAATAATTTACTGAAATAATTGCTAAAACTACAGATATAAATCATTCAGCGAACATCATGCCATTTGTAAACAACATAAAGCAATTGCATTCATTGTAAAAAATGTGATACTGATGTCTATTTTACCATTACCTATTCCATACTGTATTCTACATTCTACGTGGTACAAGAAGCAAAAGAGGAAAATAAAAGTGATACTTATAATTTAAAAATAAGTCAATATATAGATATAAGTACATAGAAATATAGATATAAGTACATAGAAATAAACCTAGATGAATATATATATGTATATATATATGGAATCCTAGTCAGAAAATACATTCATATATTACATATGTAAAATGTAAATATTTATTTAGGTATGTGTATTATATATATATAATTTATCCACTATATATCTATGTAGATTCTTTTTTATCATCTTTCTATTTGAAAGTATTTTCTGAATAGAAATCACTTTTTCTCAGAAGTAAGGCCAACAATTTACAACTTGGAATTTATAGAACTAAAATTCTTCCCAACAGCTCAAGAAATTAAAAGTGAGTGAAGTGCCAAGGACTAGCTTCAGCTGGCAGAGGCAATCTCAGAAAGGTTTATTTGGCAGTAATGAATGAATAACATAAAGCCAAATCATGAATTATAGGCTGATTTCCTATGTTCTGCTGGAGACAGATTTCAGACAGATATCTTTCAAGACAGTTCTCTCTCCTGGAGTTCCAAAAAATCTCTGGATAGAATTGTGAAAGACACAATTCTAAGTATAGCTTAAACTTTTGATAAACTTCTTTTTGTCTATATTCATAAAATGTAATTTATGAAGTCTTACTGCTGTAACAATTAGTACTTGCTGCACATTCAATTTTCACCCTTAATGAAATTATTACTATTCAATTAAAAGGTTCAAAGTATTTCTTTGTTTTTTAAAAAAATATGAAAGTGGAGGTCCCCGAAAGTTTGTATCCCCTACTGTGTGGGAATTCGAGAGCAGGGAGATGGGACTGGGAAAATGTTTAGAGCACACCCTCACAAAAATTAGGAGGAGGGGGTATGGTATAAGGGGTTTTGGGGGAGAATGGGAGAGGAGATAACATTGAAAGGTAAATTCGTATAATATCCAATAAAAAAACACACAGAAAAGGGTCTAAAAAAAAAAGAGTGAGGGAGTGTGTTTACTTATTTTAAATTAATTTCAAATGTTTCTAAGAGTTGCTAATTGGTAAAGATCCTATTTTAATCTCTCCATAAAAGAATTTAAGTCTCTGTTCAATATTCTCAAGAGAGAGGTAAACCCTAATTTTCCTCGACAATTAATTGACAAAAGAGAGGTAATCTCACAAAAAGTAGAAGAAGCTATTACTAATCGATATATTATATAGTCTGATTAGATGTCAGTGGTGCTATAACAGTCCTTTGACAAAAGATTATTAATATAGATTTATATATCCTTAAATAGGGTCTTCATGACTCTCTGAGTGTGGAAGGAGCAACTGTTGGCACTTCTGTCTTGATTTTATAAGAACTCTGAAAAATTGAATTTAAAAACAAAACAGGGGGAATGGTACCCCTCAGAAGGAGTCCCCCTGAAATACTTTCCATCATGCCTTGTTCACTTTTATCTCTCTAAAGTTGAAAGCTCATGGCAAATCTGCTGCTGACTGCCTCTGGCACCACCAAGACCAACAAAACTTTGCCACAGATATGGGGAAGGACCCTCTTACCCTTAAAGGGAATGGCCCAGACCCAGTGCCCTTATGGGGCCTAGGACTGATATGCCTGTCCAATACCAGAGAAGGCACAGCTAATCGGCTACCAAAAAGATTAATGAAAAAAATAAATACCCCCACAAAGCCAGGCCCAACCATAAATATGATGAATAACAATTTACATCCAGGGAAGAGAAATCTCCCTGAGAATCCCCTTCTTTTTCCTTTCCAGGTAAAAATGAATCACCCGTGATGTCTCCGGTTAGAAGTTCTAATCCAGATACTGGCCTCCGAACTTATACTACTCAGACCTTTGAAGGGCCACTGACAAGGACATCAAACAGCTAGAGATTGACATCACTAATCTAAAGAAATCCCTCGTTTCACCATCAGAAGAGACCTCCTAAAATCGCAAAGATCCTTACTGGACTTGATTTACTCTAGTACAATAGAAAAGACTGTATACAGCTCTTGACTGTGTACAACCCTCAAAGAACGTTGCCTTTACAAAGACAAGACAAGGAGGGTTAAAGAGAGCATGAAATAGGTAGGGAAGCCTAAGAAAAATCAGAGAGAGAAAGAGACAGATGAATGCTGGTACAAGAATTGATTTGCAGCCTATCCAAGGTTGTCATCCCTATTTCCTTCCATCTTGGGACCATTATTTGGGTTCTTTTTGCTTTTTTCTGCTGGTCCCTGGCTCTCAAATAGGCAGACTAACTCTGTGATACAACAGATAAATAATTTGGTAGCAAAACCTACTCAGATACATTATCATAAGTTAGCTATGGAGGACAACGTGACTCAAGATGAGGTTGTTACTTTATACAAGGTGTTTCCAAAACCCATCTCCACCCAACCTAAAAAGGGGGGACTTCTGCCCCTAGACCAAGCAGAGAGGGGCCACGCAGAACCCCCTCTGACAGGCAACCTGAATTCTTGCTTAGGCTGCGAGGCTAAGCACTGCAAGGGAATATAAATAAAAGATAAAAATATCTATCTGGGTTCCCAGAGGGACAAGCTTGACTGCATAGGGGTTGATGTCAAAACTATCCCCTCTCCAGGAAAAAGACATCAGTATGGGTATGGCCCTCATGCCTCACTGGACAACTACAGGGGGACTGGAGCCATTACAAGGTCCCCTTCAAATACTGGAGGTAAGGCCTCTATCCCCGCCTTCGCAAGTTTAGAATTGCCACAGCCCTTCTATACTTAGAGAAGGGAGGAGATGTCAGGGCCATCCCTGCTTACACACTGAAAGCCTAAAATCAACCATAGGTCTAAAATCAGCAATAGGCCTGTCATACATGTATACTAACACCAAGTCTTGGGTCTCAGTGGAAGAACATTGAAACTGATGGCTATAAGCTAACATCAATGGGCAGCTTTTGTGGAAATTTATAAGCCTGAGTGGTCATGGACCTTGTAAATAGGTAGCCTTGGCAGATAATACCAGCTTAGATGGGGACAAGCGAGTGATAGGCAAAGTCACGGTGACTTGTCCCCTGAACCTTCACACAGCTGATACCCAGTTCTGAAGATATCTCTATTCCCCCTGAGCACCCACACTCCAGTGTCATTCCCCTCCCCACTTCCTGCTTTTCTGTGTTTATACCCCTGTGTGAATTAATTATGATTTTAGAAAAAAATTAAAAAAAATAAAACAGAACAGAACAACAACAAAAAATTGGCATTTTCAGCATGTTTCCCTTAATAGATCTGCTCTTGTGTCAAAATATTTCTCTAGGGGAAAATATTTTGAATATAACTTTTATGTGGGAGAATTGCATAGTAGACTATGTTCAACACATACAATGAATATAAAAATATGTGCCGAGAGGATTTTCCCTCTAAATTCCTCAATCTCATCACCCAACAATGGGTCAACTTGGTAATTATCCATATACCTGATGTTATGTTTCTTAAAATTACAGTGACTTTATCCATAAAACACACACATACATACACACCACAAACACTAAGAAAAGCTCAGGGATTCTCTGCCTAGGATATATACACTTCTTAATTGCTGTCTTGGCATTTTATAAAGTAATTAAATTAATTTTTTGAGGCATGATTATTTTGTTTTTATCAGTGTGTAAATGTAGGGTAAGAATGATACCATCCCAGAATAAAATAAATTGAATATTAACCACACCAAGGTTGGATTTATTGAAGACAGTTGTAATATATTTATTGATAATTCTGACAAAGGAAGGATTAGATTGAGGTTTAAAATTACCTATAATATATACCCTATAAAAAGTTTAAAGACTAACAAAACAATAACATTTACATAAAATTTATCTCACAAATGTCAATATTCTACTCTACTAAAATATACAGAACACTATGAACTGGTTTTGATTAGGAGAGTAATTAAAATTATCCTTGATTAAATCCTTGCATTTTTAAATACTATCTCTTTCATTTGTTAGAACATAAATACCATACCATTATCAATTAATGATGTCATATTACTACTGAGTGAACAATTTTTTTCATTTTATTCAAATAAATACTTAATATGAATATAAGTTGTTCTGATGTAAAATGTTTGGAATTCTTAACGAAATACAGGGCTTTTCTTTGTCAGTTCTCTGAAAATGAGTAAGGTTTCACCTTTATTTAAATACTTATGAATACATTTCTAGTTGTAAATACCAGAATTCTGTATGAGTACTAGAAGTTTAATTACTTATCATCTTAGTCTCTTGCATGGATCTTGTTTGTGGTCTAAGGATTGAGCTTGTGATAAATGATTTGCCATAGTCTTGACATTTGTAAGGTTTGACTCTGGTATGAATGCTAAATTTGGTTGGGAAATATGATTTCTGAGTGTAGCATCTTCCATATTTTTATATTGGTAATGATTTATTTTTAATACAGATTCTGTGGTTACCATGAATATTTGAAGACAGAGTGAAGGATTTGCAACATTCACTATACTTGAAAGGTTTGTCATCAGGATGGATTCTGGTGATAATGCTAAAGAGTTGAGGACTTTGGAAATAAATGTCCACTGTTAACACATTCTTCAGGTTTGTCTCCTGTATGGATTCTACGCTGAGACAGAAAATTTGAGGGTAAGGAATAGGATTACCTGCATTCATTACACCTATAAGTTTGCTTAAAAGTATGGATTCTTTGATAAACTTAGAGAGATTAATATCAGATAAAAGATATGCCACATTATTTATACTTGTAGGGTTGAACTCTAGAGTGGATTATTTAGTAAGCCTGAAGATTTGAGAACCATGTAAATTATTTATCATACTTATTACATTTCTAAGATTTGTCACCTACATGGATTCTGTGATGAACTGAGAGTTGAGGAATGGGTGAAGGATTTTCCACATTCATTACATTTGTAAGGTGTCTCACCAGTATGAATTCTGTAATGAACATGAAGTTGTGAGAACTGCGTAAATGATTTACCACACTTATAATGTTTTTAAATTTTGTCTCCTTTATGGATTCTATGGTGAATTCTAAGACTTGATAATTGGCTGAAAGAATTCTCACATTTGCTACATTTGTAAGGTTTGTCTGCAGTATGGATTCTATAGTGAATTTTAAGATCTGAGGACCGTTTAAAGGATTTCTTACACTCATTACATTTGTAAGGTTTCTCACCAGTATGAATTCTGTAGTGAACATGAAGATGTGAGGACTTTGTAAATGATTTACCACATTTATTACATTTGTAAGGTTTGTCTCCTGTATGGATTCTGTGGTGATTTCTAAGACTTGAGGAATGGGTAAAACATCTCCCACATTCATTACATTTGTAAGGTTTCTCACCAGTATGAATTCTGTAGTGAATTTTAAGATCTGAGGACTGTTTAAAAGATTTCCCACATTCATTACATTTGTAAGGTTTCTCACCAGTATGAAT